GCAGGTGACCAAGCAAATTTGCAGGTGGTAATGTTGAAACACAGACTGGAGAGTGACTTGCCCTTGATCCCACAGGTAGGAAGGAGCATGGTCCTTGCCCCTTACCAGCTGCCTTCAGAGCAGTATCAAGTAAGGGGAAAAAGAAAGATTGTGAACAAACACAGGGCATAAGGCTGGGGCCAAGGTAAGCTTTACAGTTTTGAAAGGCAAGAAAGCTATGAAATTACACTTCCCCCAAGAAGAATAAACAAATTGTGATTGTGCAGAAGGATTTGGTGGTCCCCAGAAGTTCCTGTTGCAATCCTGATGAGTGGAGCTCTTTGCCTATCCTAGTTAATTAATTCTACTCCAGCAGGGCCTGTGAAGCCAGAGCACAAGAGGTTAAACAAAATCAGGATTGTGGTTGACACTGTGTTAATATCGGTGCTAATTTATCATTGTCCTCTGTTAATGAGCCTTTGGTGATTGTAAACAGGGCCAGGCCAGAGCTTCAGGAAGAATATGTGTGAAGGAAGGCTTTTCTTTTTTTCCTACTGAATTTTGACTTTGTGGTATGTTAGGGTGTGTCTAGGGTCACACTCCAGTGTGTGTGTGTGTGTGTGTGTGTGTGTGTGTGTGTGCCATGGAAAGCTTGTTGAGCCCATACCTGATTTTCTTGTCCCACTAATTTCTTCATCACTGGGGAAAGGAGGTGTCCAGAAGTAGTGATATGATGTATGAAGATTCCCAGAGGGGTGTGTATGTGTGTGTGTGTGTGTGTGTGTGTGTGTGTGTGTGTGTGTGTGAAAGAGGAGAGAAGGGAAGAAAGGATGGTAGCAAGGCACAGGAAGAACTTCAACTACAGACGGATGAAGTCAAGTAAGGGATATAATATGTATTCAGAAAAACCAAATAGCAGATGTGGGAGCATACCAGAAAAGACTTCCTAAGTAACTACTGGAACCAGGGGCCACAGTCCACAAATGGTAGAAGGTTATTGGATGGGGGTAATCCTATGGACAGGGACACACAACCAACATCCCCAGTAGACTGCCAGGACCCTGAAGTTTCAGATCCCTGAGTTA